GACTGGTTCCCAGAGAGGCTGACCACGCAGGCTGGGGTGTCTGGCGTGGCCTCCAGCAGCGCCATCACCGCCTCCATCCCCATCTTGCTGCTCTGCAAAGGGACAGGGACACCTGTGACACTGGGGCCACCAGCGTCAGCTGGGTGGGATGCTCAGGCATGCTCCCACAGGCTTGGAAATCATGTGGCTGCTTATTAACTGCTGGAAAGCCGATGGTTTTATTTAAAATCCATGGAATTTGGAGTAAACGAGGCAAAATGGGTGCACATTTTGCACAGCGCAGCAGGGCTGAGCCCATCCGAGCCTCACCCCAGCTGGCAAACCTTTTCCATTGGGCAGAGGGATGGCAGGAGAGGGGTTCCCCCTCCCCGTGTCCTACCCTGGACCTACCAGCACGCGGTCAAAGGCAGACGGGGTTCCTCCGCGCTGCACGTGGCCGAGGACGGTGACCCGCGTGTCGAAGCCCAGGCGTTGCACCACCAGCTGTGGGGAAGAGGGGACATCATGTTGGGGACCCACCGGTGTCCGTGGGTGCCAGGGTGGTGCCGGGGCAGTCGCTTACGTCCTTCACATAGTTAGAGGAGATGGGTTTGCCGCTGCGGTCGATGGCGCCCTCGGCGATGATGATGATGTTGAGCCGCGAGCCCCGGCTGCGTGTCTGGCATGAGGGGAGGACAAACGGCCACCACAGCTCAGCCAAAACTGAGCCAAAACTCACCGTGGGCTGTGCGTGAGCGCCCTCCCCTTCCCGCCATCTGTGCTGCCCCGGGGGTGGCTCAGGTCACGGGCAGCTGAGCCCCCAAGCCAGCGCTGCCCCTGGCATGCGAGGGCTGGATTTGCCCTCGGCTGAGCGCCCCGGCTCACAGGGACAACGGCGGCAGCTCCCGAAGCTTCACGGGGGCCGGGCACCGGCTGCAGGGCTCAGCCCGGGCCCCTGCGGGGACTCTTGGGGGGAACAGGGGATGGGATGGTAGGAACGCCCCCCTCACCTCCCCGAGCCTTTCGCACATGAGGTCCTCCCAGCCATCCTCCGGAGGGGATTCAGGGATGAAGAGCCAGTCGGCACCTGAGGCCAAGCCGGACACCAGCGCCAGGTACCTGGGGAGACACGGCAGTGGCAGCACCGGCCCTGAAATGCGGCATCCCATCCCACCGATGGGCTTCCCCACCCACAGGGGCTTACCCGCAGTGGCGACCCATCACCTCCAGCACGAACGTCCGCTGGTGGCTGCAAGGGTGGGAAGAGAGGAGGGTGGGTGCGATGGCCAGGGCGGGGCAGCCCCCAGCCCCATCCCGCTCACCTCTGTGCCGTGGTGGTGATGGCATCAATGACCTCCATGATGCGGTGCAGTGCCGAGTCGGTGCCGATGGTCATGTCGGTGCCGCAGAAGTCGTTGTCGATGGAGCCCACCAGCCCCACAATGTTCAGCCGGCAGTTCTTCTTCGCCACCTCCTCGCTGATCTGCCCTGGGGCGGGTCACGGCCACCACACCGGTTATTTCGGGGCACTCATGTCCCCACCATCACGGGGCTGGAGCCCAGCCCTCCTTGGGGTCACGGCAGCGGGGTGACCCTCTGGACCTCAGGGTCGGAAGGGGCTCACCCACCATCTCGGACCAGCTCCTCCAGCAGCCCAGCCCACTCGGAGCGGAAGATGTCAGCGCCAGTGAGGCTGCCGTCGCCGCCGATGACGCACAGGTTGGTGATGCCGTGCTCCACCAGGTTGCGGGCGGCCCGGAGCCGACCCGCCCGCGTGGTGAAGGCCTTGCAGCGGGCGCTGCCGATCACCGTCCCACCCTGGGGACACAACGGGGCTCATCACACACATCTGGGGTAATGGGATCTGGGGTCCTGTGGCCCCATGGTGACCCTCACCAGCTGGATGATGTTGGAGACGCTGAGCCAGTTGGCTTGTTTGATGTTGTCACCGCCCTCCACCAGCCCCTCGTAGCCCTGTGGAGAAGCAGAGGGTGATGAAAGATACCCGGGCACGGGGGGGGTGAATCCCCCCGGCCATGACGGGGACCAGGACGAGCCCCAACCTCATAGATGAGGAAGACCTTGGCTCCCACGTATATCCCCATGCGGGTGACAGCGCGGACAGCGGCGTTCATACCTGGAAAAGTGATATGTGAGCTGGAGTATTCCCATGGGATCCTGCGTCCCACAGGGGATGGGATCCTATAGGTGACCCTGAGGTGTCCCCTTGAGTGGGCGGGGAGCCACGTGGGTTGAGACCGGGAAAACTGCGCACAGCTGGGCCCGCCAACGAGGAACTGCCCGGGAGGGAGTCGCTTATCCCGGGGGGACGGACGGGGACGAACACACCTCCTCCGTGGAGCTCCCCGCCTGGGGCCCCTGCCCTCCCACGGCCCGAGGGGGACGGGGAAGCGGCGCGGGCGGGAGCGCACGGGAGGGGGTCCCCATCCGCCCGGCCCGGGGAGGAGCGCGGCCCGCGGGCTCCGGTCCCGGGCGGTCACGGACACGGACACGGACACGGACACGGACACGGACACGGACACGGACACGCACACGCGGGGCGGCCGCGGGCCCGGCCCGAGCCCCCCGCCCCGCCGGGCGCACCTTGCGCGTCTCCTCCGCTGGTGAGGACAGCGATGGCCATCCCGGCCCCCGCCATCCGCAGCCGCTCCAGCTCCGCCGCCGCCATCGCTGCGCTCCCGGCACCGGCGCCGCCGCCGCGGACACGCCCCGGGACACGCACGGACCGGGGACACGCCCCGGGACACGCACGGACCGGGACACGCCCCGGGACACGCCCCGGGACACGCACGGACCGGGGACACACCCCGGGACACGCCCCGAGCGGGGGACACACCCCGGGACACGCCCCTCCCGCCGCCGCGGAGCGACAGACGGGGTGACGGGTCGCGTCGTGTCGCGACATGGTGCCCCATATCGTGCCGGACAGTGGGCACACGCCCCACCATCCCGGACCGCGCCATCCTGCGTGAGGTCCTCCCAGAGTCCTGAAGGAATTGGCTGATGGAGCTGCCCAGCCGCTCACCAGGATGTTGGAAAGGTCCTGGCTGTCCGGTCAAGTCCCAGGTGACTGGAAAAAAACGGAGTCCTTGTCCTCATCTTTAAAAAGGGTGGAAAGGAGGAGCCTGGGGAGCGGAGCCCGTCAGCCTCCCCTCTGTGCCTGGGAGGATCCTGGGCCAGACCCTCCTGGAAGCTCTGCTGAGGCAGGGGGAGGACAGGAGGTGAATCGGGACAGCCGGCACCAAGGGCAAGTCCTGCCAGACCAACCCAGGGACTTTCTCCGATGGGGTGACTCCCTCAGCGGACAAAGGGAAAGGTTAGGGATGACATTTATCTGGATTTCTATGAAGCCTGGACACAATCCCACCCAACATCCTCCTCTCTGTGTTGGAGAGCTGGATTCCATGGATGGACTCTTAGCTAGATAGGGAACTGGCTGGATGGTCACATCCAGAGGGGCAGTGGCTCCGAGTGGCCATCAGTGACCAGTGGTGTCCCAGGGGTCCGTACTGGGAGCAGGGACAGTTCAGATCTGCATCACTGACACAGACAGAGGGTTCGAGACACCCTCAGCAGCTCTGCAGGTGACACCAGGCTGAGGTGACACTGCTGAAGGGCAGGGCCATCCAGAGGGCCCTGGACAAGCTCCCGAAGTGACCCATGGGAATCTCCTGAGGTTTAACACCACCAAGTGCTGGCGCTGCCCCTGGGTCAGGGCAACTCTCGGGATCAGTCCAGGCTGGGGATGAGCAGATGGAGCAGCCCTGGGAGAAGGACTTGGGGGTGCAGGTGGTGAGGGCTGGCCATGCCCCAGCCCAGAAACCCCCCAGTGCTGGGCTGATCCCCAGCGTGGGCAGCAGGAAAGGGATTGGGATTCTGCCCCTGTGCCCCTGTGCTCAGGTGAGACCCCACCTGCAGAGCTGCCCCAGCCCTGGGGCCCAGCACAGGGAGGACGTGGAGCTGCTGGAGAGAGTCCAGAGGGGGCACCAGGATGAGCAGAGGGATGGAGCAGCTCTGCTGGGAGGAAAGGCTGGGAGAGTTGGGATTGTTCAGCCTGGAGAGAAGCTCTGGGGTGAGCTCAGTGTGGCCTTGCAGTGCCTGAAGGAGCAAACAAGGAAGATGGAGAGAGAATATTCCCAAGGGGAAGTCCCCTCGAAGAGGGGAATGGCTTCAAACTGGTTAGATGGGATACTGGGAAGAAATTCTTCCCTGTGAGGGAGGTGAGGCTCTGGCACAGGGTGCCCAGAGAAGCTGTGGCTGCCCCTGGATCCCTGGAAGTGTCCAAGGCCAGGTTGGACAGGGCTTGGAGCAACCTGGGGTAGTGGAAGGTGTCCCTGCCCATGGCAGGGGGTAGAATGAGATGGGCTTTCAGGTCCCTTCCCACCCAGGGCATTCTATGACCATATTCTGTGCCACCACAGGCTGTGCCATGCTCTGCCAATGAGACGAGCTGGAGCTTTTACTAGAAATTTCACATTTTAAAATTTTTAATTTATAATTATTTTAGTTGTAATTAAAAAACAAACCTATGGAGGAATCCCTGGCATGGATTTCTCATCCCCACGACCCAGCTCAGTACCCAGAGTGTCACCTCTCTCCAGGGAGGGGGTTCCTGTTGCTGGATGCCCTCTTGGCACCAGGTGGGTACAGTGCGGTGCTGGGAGGCTGCTCCAGTACTCCCCATTCCCTGGGAATGGTCCCCATCACCGTGCTCCCCTGGTCTCCCACATTCCCCAGGGGAGTGGGACAGGGCCCTGCCCAGCCAAGGGATGCGGAAACCGAGTAAGATTGTGGCAGCTCGCCCAATTCCATCTATGCCGAGTGGAGCTTGGAGCCTCATCCTGCATCCTCAGGCGCCGCGGGGCCCGGCATATCCGGCAGGGAAGGGGTGCGGGTGCCTCGGGTTAAGGAAATGGGAGAGACCTGGCCGGAGTCCCGCTCTCCTCCTCCCACAGCCCCACCTCCCCGGCCCTCTTAACATCCCCCGGGCCGGCCGTGGGGCCAGCAGCGCGTCCCCAGCGCCGTGCCCGTCCCCACCATGCTGCGGCTGCTGCTGCTCTGCGGGGCCCTGCGCTGCGGGGCGGAGCAGGCGGGTAAGGCAGGGACACGCCTGGGGACGCCGGGCTTGCCCTGGGGGCACACGGGGCTCACGGGGCGCTGGGTGATGTCCCACGTCTCCCGCAGCCCCGCTCGCTTTCACCATGCTCCAGCTGACCCGAGTCTACATGGGCAATTCCATGTTCCGGGGGAACGCCAGCCTGAATGGGCAGCTCAGCCATCTCCTGGAAGAGAATAATGTCACCCAGGTGCTCCCGCTGGAGCCTCCGGACGCCTGGGCCCGGCGGCAGGACATGGTGATCGCCTACCTGAAGAACTTCAGGCAGCTGGTGCAGCTCTTCAACATGGAGAGACCCACCAAATGTGAGTGGTACCCGGGGGACGGGGGTGGGTGCCCCGGGGAAGGGGAGCCTCTTCCGTGCTGCCAGGGCCCGGGGGTGGCTCTCCAAGGACAGGTGGGAGAAAGGATGGGGACACGGCCATGTGCAAAACCTCGCTGTGGGCAAAGGGAGCCCTTCTGTGGAGCTGGGAATTTCTTACCCGAAGCACACCCTGGGAACGTGATAAAGCTCAACCTGTTGCTGCTCCTCCGGAAAAGGGCTGGGGGCTGCAGCCTGTGGGGTGGTGAGGTGTAGGAACCCTGTCTGTGCTCTGCCTGCATCCCACCTGTATCCCACTTGCACCCTGCTTGCATCCCATCCACTCCCTGCCTGCATCCCACAGTTTGTGCAATCTGTGGGACGCTGCTGGCGATGGTTTTGTGCTCCTGCCCGCTCCGCCCCACAAGCCGTGTCGCCTCTGCTGCTCCTGCCCGGGGTGTGCTTTCCTTTCCTTTCCTTGGTTACCCTCAAACCGGTTATTGCCCCAGGCCCACATTGCTGTACCCTTGGGGAGCCCGGTGTCACCACGGGGTCTCTGGCATGACCCACCCCAGCCCTCCCGGTGTCCCTGTCCCAGCGTCTCGCTCCATCCGTGACAGCCACGAGCAGCTCTGCGCCCAAGACCTCCCTCTCTGTAAAACCGGACCTATGCTGTGATAAGAGAGGGAAAATAATCCTGGCTGCTGGAAAAGTCACTGCCGTGCTCAAACCGAGGGGGAGCAGAGCTGTGGGTGGGTTGGGTGGCACAAGGCCGCTGGTGAGGGCCACGGGATCCTGAGGGTGGGAGCATGGTGACCCTGTCCCCTCCCTGTCTCTGCAGTCACCCAGCACCTGCGCTGCCTCCTCGGCTGCCGCCTCTACCCCAACGGCACAGCCCAGAGCTTCTACGAGGTGTCCCTCAACAGGACGGCGTTCCTCAGCTTCCACGTCCCCAACGCCACCTGGGAGCGGCGCTGGCCCGGCGAGCTCCCGGTGGCCACCTTCGCCCAGGAACAGCTGATGAAATACCCCATAACCACCCAGGACCTGCAGTATTTCCTCAACACCACCTGTGTCAGCATCCTGCAGGCTCAGAGCACCAGGGCAGGTCCGTGGTGGGGCCGGGGCTGGGGACAGGGGCACGGTGGCATGGCCCAGTCATCACCTCCATCCCTCTCGCCTCTTGCAGGAAAAGTCAGCGGCCGATCGCGCACTCCGCTGGTCCTGGGGCTGGTCCTGGGAAGCCTCGCCCTGCTGGGCACGGCCCTGGGCATCTTCCTGTGCACGGGAGGGAGCTGCTAGTGTGGGCAGCTGTCCCATGTCACCCCGTGGACTCAGGGGACTGACCCATCATCTTTCCGTGCATCCATCACCACCCTCTGGAGGCAAGGGACAGAACCATCATCTCCCTGTGGAGTCAAGGGATGGATCCATCGTCTTCCCAAGGATCCAGCAACTCTCCATGGATCCATCATCACCCTGGGGAGGCAGGGGCTGGATCCATCGTCCCTGCATAGAGACAGAGGATGGATCCGTCATCCCCCCGTGGAGGCGGGGACCGAGCCCATCCCTCACAAGGGGTGCGTGTCCCCAGTGCCACAGCCTTTGCTCCCCGAGGACACCGGTGGCTTCCCAGTCCTGTCCTAGCTGGACTGACCCCCCCAGCAGCCCCCAGCCCTGTGGATGGTCTTCACACTGGGCAATGCACTGAGAATCCACACAGAAACACAGGGCATAATGGAGGGGAGGGGCATGGGGGGAAAGCAGGAGGAGAAACAGCCATGGAATTGTTAAAAGGATGGTGTTAAACCCTCATTTATCCTTGTTCCAGTGGGGATGGAGGGAGGATGTCACAGCTGTAATAAAACCACCCATCACCTCCCACCACACCTTTGGCTGCTCTTGTTCCCCTTGGCAGCACCGATGTGGGGCTGTGGATCCATCCTGGCTGCTGCTGCTGGCTGAGCTTGTTGGTATTGCCAGCCACTGTGCCAGACCTTGGGTTGTGTGCTAAGTTTTCCAGGTCTCTGGAAAGATGGTGGTGGTATTTGCAGGAGGGTGTTGCACCTCCTGAGCTCATTTCAACCTTCTCCCAGCTTTGGTTTGACTCAATTAAGTAATTTTCTCAATGTTTTTCATTTCCTTGCTCAGTGTGAGATGCTGAGGTCAAGCACACACAGCTGTGAGGGGACAGTTTTCCTTTTCCACAATCCAAATCTGAGCTCAAAACTCCATTTTGACTGTTTAAACTTTGATTGTGTTGATAAGAAACTTGGCCACGTTTCCCTTTCACCCAAAAGGGGATTTTGAGCTCTCCTGCACATCTCCACTGCTCTGGAGGCAGGAAGGGCTGGGGATGAGCCAGGAGCTGCCTGGGGACAGCACAGGAGAGAGGCTTTCCTGGATGAGCTTCCAGCTCTTTCCTTTCTAAACACCCTGTGACCAAGACAGGGTGGGATGAGGGAAGATGGGAAAAGAGGTGAGGGACAGCAGGGATGTGAAGATGACCCATGGGGTTGTCCTGATGGAGGGATGGGGGAGGAGGTCTCCAAACCCCACACCTCATCACCCTGGCTCCCAGCCACCCCTGAGCAGCCCCCACCTGCCCTGGGCTCCTGGGGCAGAGGCTGGGGTGCTCCCCACCCTTGGCACGCTCCGAGAGGCTGGAGAATCCAAAACAACATGGATGAGGTATGGCAACGTCATTGCTCGGCCCTTGGAGCAGCGCCCTTGGCAGGAGCTGTGCTGCGGGCCGAGCGCTCCGTGTCCCTGCCGCCGGCATCCAGGGACACCGGGGCAGCGCTGAAGGTCACACGTGCTGCAATTGCTGCCCTCAAAGGGATTCAGTCCATTCCAGCTGGGAAAAACCGCTGCATTCCCAGCTCTGCTTGGAGTTTTGGACTCAGGGCATCTCTGCTACCTGCAGATGTTGCACCGTGGCCCCCAAAGAGTGATTCCCATTCCCAGTCCCCTCTCCCTGGGCTGCAGCTCCTTGCTCTGTCTGGGATGGCTGAGCGTGGATGCTGTGGGATCCCCACGGCTGTGAGGGAGCAGGGATGGCACCCAGGACACCCCCAGATGGCAAACACTGGCGGGGAGGCCTGGAACAGCTTTTTGTTCCAGAAATGTGTCATCTTTTAGACAGATGGGCAAGTCTGATCTTCTCCATGCAGCTCTGGGAAAGCCTTTTCCTTGCCCCCGAGCCCCCCATGTGTGTCTGGAGAATGCTCCAGAATGGAGCTGACTCTGTTGCTGCTCTTGAATTTCCACAGGGGACTGGGCAGTGGGGATCCCCCAAAAGTGCAGAACCCTGAGGAACAGCCTCGTCTCCATTGGTGTCCGTGGGCAATGCACCCAAACCTGGCACCTCCATCCCAAGGCACCTCCCTGGTGGTGACCAGCATCAGTGTCCAACCTGGACGTGGTGGCCAGCAGCAGAGGGGTTATGGTGGCAGCATCCACCTCCAACACATCGTAGCCCCAACATTTCTCTTTCTCACCCCAAACACCACAATTTGTTGCCCCAACATTTCCCTTCCTCACTCCAAAATCCTCAAGTGCCTCATGGCAGGGCCACTGAGGTCTGGCTGGGTGTGGGAGCTGGGAACAGTGGCCCGGCTGCCTCAGAGCTGGGCTCCTGCTCCATCACCACTCCAACACAGAGCAGCTTCCTGGCAGCCAGCAGCCACGTGCATGGCTTATCCTTTCCCAAATTTGGCCGCTCTTCCGCCCCCAGATCACAGCTTGGGACAGGCGCCAGTGCGTATTCCATCAGTGAGGGGTGGTTTCAATTTTCTCCTTGGAGGACTTTTGGGCTCTGCAGGAGGGAGAATGAACCCGCAGGGAAACCTCTGGCAGCTTTAACCAGCTCCCAGAGTGACCCATCCCTGTTATCTGCAGGATTGCTGGGCAAGGCTTTGTTTTCCATGCGTGGTTTCCATCAGCCCGTTCTGCTGTCGCTGTCTTGGATAAGGGCTCAGATAAGACGCCCAAGCCTTGATTCTTGTTCCAGTGAGGCAATGCCCATGTGCCAGGGACCAGCTCTTCCCTTTGCCCCATCCCATGGATGGGGTGGGCAGGTCACCTCGTTTCCTTTTGGACATCAGCTCCCTCTGCAAGATTGGTATCTCCATCCATGTCCTTTGGGAACTACAGTGCCCCAGGACAAAGGGCTGGATGGCTCCAGGAGCTGCCCAAAACCAGCAATGGGCTCTGGTGCCTGCTGGGGTGGGAAAGGGAAAAAAAGCGGGGCTGATGGGATCCATCTGGAAGGAAGCGGGATTATCCCTGTAAACACCTTTTACGCACTCGGAGCCTGCACTGCTGTCATTGTGGCTTTCCAGGACTAAACAAACCCCATCCTTCCAAATTCTCAGAGGTCACAGTCATAGATGTTTTAATTCCTGACTTTGGGACACCCTTGTTAACCCCAGGGGCTGCACTAGGGTGAGTGGATCTGCTTTCTAGCAGCCTCCTGCTCCCACATGGAAGCGAGCAGCTCCCTGGAAAAGCCTCCCAGCACAGGGAAGAGCCGTGATGGCCACTCCCTCCTCGCAGGGTGTTCGGTGGTGCCCAGTGCTGCCCTCTTCTTCCTGCTCACCTCCCAGGTCAGCTGGAGGAAACAGGAGGAGAGAGCTGGCTGCTGGCCAGGAGGAGGGATATGTGGCAGGTGGGATGCAGGCAGAGGGTACCACCCATCCCACACCTCTGCCCTGCTCCAGAGGGCTGCCCTCTCCCTGGGGACCGCTCAGGAGCAAGCCAGGCTGCTCCACCAGCTCCTGCAGTGCAGGTGAGCAGGGATGGGGGCTCCTAGCTGGGAATCACAGGAACGATTCCAGCAGGGAATCATCGCTCCACCTTCCCAGCTGGAGGCCCCCACTCCAAACCCACGTGTCCTCAGAGCAAACTTCTCCTGGCATCAGCCCCTTCTCCCTTCTTCCTCCACTGCCCAGCCCTGGAGCAGAAAGGTTCAGAGAGAGACAAAGACATGAAAAACCAAGATTTTTCTTTGGAAAAACCCAAGGTTCCTTGCACTGCGCTTTCAGAGAAGTTTCCCTGAAAAAACAGCTGTTTGGGAACATTTTCACCCACTTCCCAGAGTTGGGAGCAGCCTTCAGTGTGACTGAAGCCATTGGGAGCAAAGCCCTCCTCCCAACACTCCCACACCAAGGGCTGAAACTCCTTGGAGCAGCCCCGAAACTTCACCATCCGGTCTGGGATGGGGAATGTGGCTCTAGGTGCAGCCAGCCCAGGCTGTAGAGGGACAGAAGACATGGACAAGGCTGCAGGACAGGATGGAAACATGGATCTGAGCCCTGTATTCCCTCCCATCATCAACCTGCTATGGAATCCTCATCCATCTGCTCCTTCCCCTCCCCTGGGATGGGAGGGATCCAGCCAAAGGGTGGGAACACAGCGCTGATGGAGGCAATGACATCTAAAAGCCAGCCTGTGGTGAGGCCCTGAAGGAACACACACATCCCCTGCAGGTGCTGGAAATCATTCCCTTCAGGAATAAACCAGGACCCCGTTTTAGCCAGGCCTTCCCAAAGCAGCATGGACTTCTAGGAGTGCATTCCAAGGACAAGTGTTTTCCTAGAAGAATTGAACAACATGCCCTCATCAGAACCCTCACAATCCTCACTGTTCCAAGGATTTATGTTAAAAGAGGCACAGGAAATCTGTGTTTATTTGTTCCCGGTTTGGGAATGCTGTTGCTTAGAAAGGACTGGAAATTCAAGCTGTGCATTACAGAATTCCCAGCCTGGAGGTTCAGCCAGCATCCTTGCCTGGTGCCACACCAAGATGAACACTTAAATCTCATGGGAAGCATTTCTGTGGATAAAGGAGTCCATGTGTGCCATGACTTGCTCCCACCAGCTCTATGTCACTGGAGAAGGGGACAGAAGATGTCAAGGACACTGAGCACCCTGTGCACCCCCAATTCTTGGAGGACAAATATTCCATGATCCCAAAAAAAGCACACTGCGAGTGGGCCAGAACCAAAACCACTGGGAAAGCACTGCTGTTGCTGATGGGCAAAAGCATGGAAGCTCTGGAAGCTTTGTCTGGAGGTAGGAAAAGTGTTGGACACCGGCTCTGAACACACCCCACGCCACGGGGGAAAGGGTGGAAGGAAACAGGGATTGTTGGTTGGAATTTGGGGCTTTTTTTTCCTGTTTTTCCCCTTGCTGGTGAGCAAGCCAGGGCTCTGCAGCCATTGTTGTGTTCTCCAAAGAGTCTGGCCCCACAATGCAATTAAAACAAACCACAGGAAGGAAAGGAATTAGCAGGGAAAGGAAAAGCAGCAGCAGGAACAAAATAAACCCGCTGGCTGCTGCTGGGGGTGCAGGTAGGAGAGGTTACGCCTTGCCCTGGGGACGAACTTGGAGCTTAGGGGTGAAATCTTGGCTTTTTGGATTTATTGCTACAGGTGAGCATGGCTGCAAGGGGCTGGAATAACAGCAAACAGCCCCATGCACAGGGATATGGGAAGGAATTCCTTCAAAATCTGAGGTTTCCTGGAAACTTGAACTAAGAGGGAGCAGAGGCAGCACTTGAAAAAGACTGGGCATCATGGGCAGAGGAAGCAGCCTCAGCTGGGGTTACCATTTTATCCTTATGGATTCTGAGGAGAAGCAGAGACCAAGGGTTCGGCATTGTGGGTTTGTCTCAGCTGCTCCCCAAGCCCCTGCTGTGCTCTGCCAAGGCAAACGTACACAGGATCCAACAGGAAATCTTCCCGGGGCTGCTGCTTCCCCTGCGTCACTCCCACTGGTTGGAAGCACTGGAGCTGCAGGGGTGGGTGGGACTTGCTGGACCAAGGGCAGCATGGACACAGGGGCTGTGCCCACCTCGAGCTGCTTCCTGCTCCCAA